TAAAGAAAAGAATTTGGGGTTAGAAATTTAGAAAAATGATTTTTCGTGTTAAAATGCACTACAAATGTTTTGTAAGAAAAATGGAGTTTTGAGATGGGTTAAAAGTGATTTTCGTGTGAAAAGTTGAAGAAAAAGTGATTTTTCATACAGTGTAATCGGTTACCATTGTGGGCGTAACCGGTTACACTGTCCAAAAACTGTGTTTCTGGGCAATTTTGTGAGAGTGTTTATGGGCAATTTTGTGAGAGTGTAATCGATTACACCATAAGACAGTAGCAAAGGGTGGCTGGTTACAAAGGGTGTAATCGGGTACCTCATTTTGAGTAACCGGTTACACTAGGACTTTTTTTTTGAAAAATTTCTAAAATTCATAACTTTAGTTCTAGGTGTCTGATTTGAGTATCGTTCAAAGTGTTAGGAAGCTGACGCAACAAACTTTATTCTAAAAATGATTTTTATACCAGAAGTTGAATAATTTTGCTATGTGATGGTGTTAAGCACATTATTATTGTTAAGTTGTGGTGTGGCATAAATGTAAATGCCTTGTAGTTGCTTGCTATGTTGTATGTCAATGTTGCTGGACTATTATGGCATGTTGTGTTGCGGCTTGTAGTGGCGTGATACATTGATTAATGAAGGTCATTGTATGTTTTTATTGTCATGCATTTCATGATTGCATGAGTTGTGAGATAAGCCATGTGCCCAGGTGGGATGTGAGAATCTTATCCAGGTTCTAGTTGTAGAATCATGTTGTTGTTGAGGTTATCATGTGCCCATGTCGGGTGTGAGCAATCATGGAGGTCGTGTGCTCGATGGGGTGTGAGCAACGTAATGGAAATTCCAACGATAATTGTGATTTTGAAATAGGAAATGAATGGTATCACATGCATTGAGTCAAGGAGTGAGTCTTAATGCATTACATCTTGATTGTATTTGTTGTTGTTCTTGGATTTTGGTTGTGTGGTGTAGGTTATGGAATGGGTGATGTGCATGTAATAATTTGATGCTTGCTTATTATCATGCTTTCCTTTATATAATTATGATATCTCACCCTTTTGCTTGAATGTTGCCTTTACATGGGCATCATGCAGATAGCTCGTAATAGAGGAGTTGATGTGAGTGGAAGATGAAGTCTTCAGTTTTACTTTTAGTGCCGACGTCTGCTCTAATGTGTAACACTAGGGTTATGGAACGCTATGTCTGTTATGTTTTGGTGGAGATTTTTGGATATCTCTAGAGTTGTTGTTGCTTATGTTTATTTTGAAAACATGGTTATATTTTGAATAATTATTTGATTTTGATGCTTCCGCTGTTTCAATAAAAGTTGATGTTTCAGACATGTTTGGTTATTATAAATAATTTTTAAAAGTTACATATGTTACATATCATGTTATGTGAGCAGACGTTTGTGGTTTTGTAACATCTTAAATATTATTGATTCAAATTTACTCTAATATTTATTATAATTATGCGAGGTTTATTTAGGGTGTTACATCATGAGTCAGTGGAATAAGAACCGTGTGTGTTATTGATTCAAGTTAGGTGGAAGGAAAATCTCAAATATTTTGAAGACTATGAAAAATTAGGGCGTTAAGGCCTTCACCTTATTAAACATGAAACATTAAATAGTTAAATGTAATAGTATTTCATATTAACTGAATTACATGTTCTAGGGATAAGTACTCAATCTAGTTCCTCGAGCTTTATAGGCTCCATGTAGTAGCTTATGGTATATTTGATATGAACCTTCTTAATTTGGTAGAAAATTTCCCAACTAAGAAGGTGTGACCACTTGTATGTGTACAAGGTTACCTTCTTGTATTTCCCTTAGGACTACCTTCAAATTGTTTCTTTTGGCATCCCTCTATTTGGTGGAAAATTCCCTGATATGGACGATTTCTCTTGTTTTGTCAACCATGTCAACTACACACCTAAGTTTTGTTTAGTTTTCTTCTTCATTAAGTTGTGCGCGCCTACAAGTGGGTGTGTTAATTTTAACTAGCAATATGGCGTTAATTTTGTATGCCATTGTAAATGGCCTTCATTGATGGTGGAATTGGGGGGGGGGGGTGTTGTGTGATATTCATCCCATAGACCTTTGGCGTCATCCAATTTTTCTTTATCCTGCTTAATATCACCTTATTTTCGGACTCAACTTGCTCGTTGGCCTACAGATGGACGACTGAGATGGACCTCATCTATATTTTTAGGCGATGGCAAAAATCCATTGTGAGGTAAGAGGTGATTGTATGTCTGGTACTTTCTGCCATGGTCTCGATATCGTGGTAATAAGGCAGGATGCGCGCTACCTATCACAACAGTTACTTATATCAACTGTTGTGATATATACATTTAGGTACTCGGTTCGAAACCCACTTGCAACATTTTATTTGGAGCGTAAATTAAATTTCATTGCAGATAAAATATATAACCGTTGTTGAAAGTACTCAAAGTTTATTATATAATATGTAGATTGCTTGTTTTTCCATACACCCCACTAAAGAAATACCACCATTCAAATTGATGAGGAAGTATATAATCTGAAAATTAAATTATTCTTGAAAACCAACTTAAACAAACCACTATTTTCCAAATTGTATGCGTCTCATCATTCATTTCACGCTATTTAACATATAAAATGTGGTTCAATGGTCTAAGTACTTCATGACATCGATTCCTTCTATTCTAGTTTAATTTGAATAACATCAATTTATTGGCCAATAAATTGTTGTTATTCAAATTAAACTATAAGAGAAGATATAGATGTAATGCAGGAATTAGGTCATTAAACCATATTCTATATGTCAAACAACGTAAGATGAATGATGAAACAAATGCAATTCGGAAAATATTGATTGATATAAGTTGGTTTTAAGAGTGCAGTTGAGATAATTCTCTTAGTCTTCTCATATGGAGAACTCATGTTGCTATATGAAGTTAAGAAGAAGTTTGAAAGTGTTAAAATTCATCATATGAAAGTGCGTATCTATAGAAGAGGTTGAAGACGAAACATCTGATGATTTAATGCTTACAATGATTACTTCTAATGGTTGATACTCTTGAACGACTCGCGATCGTCTTGAGAAATGAAGAAAAATTTCAATTAATATTCGTTTCTCTCTTTTGGGAAGAGCAAAAGTTGTTCTCTCTTATATACTAAAAAATATCACTTTTTATCACGATTAACAAGAAAAACCATGGTTAAGTAATTTCAAAAAAATAAAAATTTAGATCTTATTTATGAACTTAAGTGACACGCGTTTTTTGTAATAGGCAAAAAGGAAAAAAATGTAGTTGTTAGGATTCGAAGCTTGTAACACTTACTTTATCACCACCGTTGTTTATCTCAACCGTGATTAAATATTTTTTTTTAAAAATAAAAAATATATCAGGCGCATTCAGATTGCGATATTACAACGAAAAACATAACTATAATAATATTATGTTACCGAATGTGTATTTTATAGTAGTGCCTCGACGATTAGGAGTTTCAGTTTCCCTTGAGCCATGGGGAAAATGGTCTAATATTTCCATACTTCGTTGGTAAAATGACCATGATGATGCGATAAATTGAAGAGCCTCAGTTTGTGTGTGATGTAGATTGGTGTGTCTCTTGCACTTGTCACACATTTTGACAATTTTTTTTGCTATCTTTCATTAGGGTTGACCAATAATATACCGCCTTCAACAACTTGTGGGTGAGAGCTTGCCCGCCGATGTGACTTTCACATGTTCCCTAGTGGATATCTGTGAGGGCCAAGGCGGTCTCATACTCCCTTAGACATATTAACATGGGGAAACCCTTCCCATTTCTAAAGAGTTTCCCGGACACTGTGTTATATTTACTTTTGAACTTTCAGATCTTCTTCATGTCAACCACGTTTAAAGGGAGCTCGTAGGTCACCAAGTAACGTGTTATAAGCGTCATCCACCTTATGGGTTAGGGGACTTTGATGGTGTTAATTTCTTCTATTTAAATACTGTGAGCAAATAGATTTGTTTTGTATGACAATCCAGTTATGACCGAGTTTCTGTGTGCTAACAAGATTTTATAGCAGATTTGCTCTACACTTTTGTTCGCTAGGCACATATATTACTTCAAAGATTTTGAAACAATTAGAAAATTCTTATACCTTTTGAGATATTTGATCACTTGTGCCTCATTCGTGAGTCACTACTGGATTAGAGACTCGGAGCGCCCATCTCTATGGTGAGGTTCATACCAGCGATGAAGGCTTAGTAATCAAATGAATTATTGTTGACATTAAAATAAAATCCATGAGGAGGTTTTTTGGGCCTTCTAGCACTATTTCAACACCATTCCCCTTCAGATTCTAGGTTTTATCGACTAATAGTATCCATATGCAAGGGATTTCCTCGTCCACAAGTTAATTGAGCTGCGACAAGAAGTCTACCAACACCTGAGATGTTATACTTCTTTTTAGTATTAAATAACTGTCGTACTCAAATAGCTCAATTGACTAGGATATCACTCTACATGCTAGATCAAACTTTTTAAAGATTTTGTAGCATGGATAGTAGGTTTTGACCATCACACGATGTCATTGGAAGTATGGTAAAAATTTCCTTGCAATAATCAAGACCGTCAACATCGGTCTCTCAATCTTTTAGTATCTTACTACAATGCCTTTGAATATCTTGCTCACGAAGTAGATCAACTATTTAACCTTATTTTTCTCTTGGACGAGTACGAAGCTCATCTTTCTGTCTGTAATTGATAAATATAAGTATAGGGCTGTGCCTGCTTTCGGGCAGATCAGTATGGATGATGTCATCAAAAATACTTTCAATGCTGCAAACACCTCCTCACACACATTTTATCGGTTAAAATTTCCCCTTTTTGTTTAGAGTGACTAAGAAGTGAAGTTTCTCCCTTTTGGTCAACATAAATCCCAATAACTAAAGTCTAGTTTAGAATTTAGTTAAATTTTGCACAACACTGCACTAACGAATGTTGTCGATGAACATAACTCCTTCAAATGTTGCCGCCAAAACTGCAATCCTCTCTCAAACACCGCACTCTATCAACTGTAACGTTCCCTCCTCATATCCTAACACTCCTCGCCGACAATTCCATCACCATAGAACACCTCAAACAGGTCCACGCCCAAATGATCGTTTCATCTCGCATCAACGATCATTTTGCTGCAAGCCGTTTATTTTCCTCTTTCGCACTTTCCCCTTTCGGAAATCTCACTCACGCTTCCAGAATCTTCTCTTCTATACACAAGCCCAATTCCTTCATGTGGAACACTCTCATCCGCGCCCAACAACAACCCCACAATTCTATCTCCCTTTACATCTCTATGCGTAGACTTGGTGTCCTGCCAGGCAAGCACACTTTTCCTTTTCTCCTCAAAGCTTGTTCTTCTCTCTCCAATCCCTTGCTACCTTGTAAGCAGGTCCACACACACGTCCTTAAATTCGGACTGGACTTAGATTCTCACGTGGCTAACGGTTTGGTGCGAGGTTATTCTGTTTCGGGTGTTTTGATTGATGCCCGTCACATGTTTGATGAAATTCTGATGAAAAGTTTGAGTCTTTGGACCACCATGATTTGCGGGTATGCTCAGAATTTTTGTCACAACGAGGCTTTGGATCTTTTTGAGGGGATGCTTGCTGTTGGGTTTGAGCCTAATGGTGCTACCTTGGCTTCAGTATTGTCGGCTTGTGCGCGGTCTGGATGTCTCGAGCTTGGGGAAAGGATTCATGAGTTTATGAGAGTGAGAGGGGTTGAAGTGGGCGTTATTCTTGGGACGGCATTGGTTTATATGTATGCGAAGAATGGGTCAATTTTGAGGGCAAGGAAGTTGTTTGATGAAATGCTTGAGAGGAATGTTGTTACTTGGAATGCTATGCTATGTGGTTTGGCTTCTCATGGACATGTTGAGGATGCTCTTAGTTTATTTGAGAGTATGAAAAAAGATGGGATTGTTGTTCCTAATGACGTTACATTCATTGGGGTTTTATCTGCGTGTTGTCATGCAGGTTTGATTGGTGTTGGTCGTGAAATTTTTTATTCGATGAAGGATGTGCACGGAATTGAACCGAAGATTGAGCACTATGGATGCATGGTTGATCTTCTTGGGAGAGGAGGGAAGTTGCTGGAGGCAGAGGAAATGATAAAGAGGATGCCGTGGAAACCTGACGTGGTTATTTTGGGATCTTTGCTGGCAGCTAGCAAGAATAATGGAAACACTGAGGTTGCTGAAAGAGTAGTGAAAGAAATTCTTACTCTAGAACCTCATAATCATGGAGCTCATGTTGCTTTGTCGAATATGTACGCAGAGGCTGGACAATGGCAAGAAGTTTTGAGATTGAGGAAAATGATGAAAGAAGAGAAACTCAAGAAAGCTCCAGGGTGGAGTCTTCTTGCCACTTAATTGGGTTTCTAACATGGCTTGTATGTGGCAGGTGCTTATCATTTTTAGAAAAGATTTGAATATTTTAGTTAGAAAAAAGGCGAGGGTTTGATTTATTATCATCTAACGTTACCCAATTCAACTATATACTGATTTAAACATCTTAGTTCAACCATTTCCGCTGTTCCGAAAATAATTAAAGTGCTTACTGAAGAAATAGTTCCACACTGCTGCTTTATAATGAAGATGTATCCTAACAATTTGGCAAGTGACTGATTTTTCCTTCGGTGTTGCAAGCACATAATTGTGTTGCTGGAGTCCAACGGTTATTTATGCAAAAGCAGTTGATAAGTCAATGATACTAGTGCTAAATGTTGAAGCCCCTTCTGTCAGCTGAGAAACTCACGAGGTTGCCATTACTAATCAATACCCAATTTTTCCTGCAACTGATGGACCTAAAGTATAATTCTTAAAAATTTCTCTCATATCATTTGGTGTTTCTGCAGCATATATGCAGGTAGAGCCTCTTTTTTATAAGACAACCCAGTTTCAAGATACTATTGACAACCAGCAAATGTCAAAGCTCTATATCGTTTATAATCTTAATATATAGTTACTTGAACATTGGGGGCCTTCAAGGAACAATGCTCGAGTTATGGTAAAAGGAGAGAAAAGAGGCCATTTCAATCATAGCTTGAAAGGATTAACTTGTTCTCAGGCTTCCATTTTCTTATCTCAACCTTGGGACAAGGTTTCTTATCTTACGGCCGGTACTATTAGAATGTCAGGTTTGGGCCTAAGCCCAATAAAGGGGGTGAATAGGTAAGTTAGGGTAGAATTACATATGTGGTAGATAGTGGGGATTGGCAGCCGAATATAGGGGAGGGAACAATGCAAAGGGAACCATTCTGATAATTTTCGGTTAGAACATTATAGGTTTGGCGGAGGGGAGTTTCACTCCTCTCGGGAGCTATAGCTCTGGGGTTACAAAGTTTTTCTTTTGTAATACAACTAGTTTTCAAATAAAAAAATACTATTTCAATTTCTCTTAACTTTGGGTTTCTTCCAGTGTTCTTGCTGAAGAGGTTTCTGATTTCATTTCATGTTGTCAATTATTTTGGTTATCTGCTTATTGATACTGTTAGAGTTTGGTCTAACACAACCTTACAAAACCGGTTGGTAAGGTGAGGGGTGTCACTCTATATAAACTATTTCAATGCTCTATTTCCAACCAATGTGGGACTTTAGGATCTTCCTAACACACCCCCTCACGCCTGACACTCTTTATGGGCTTGGTGCGTTGATTTAAACGGTGGGTTTGTTTTGATCTGAAATAGGGTCTTGATATGGTTGCAGTTAGGAGCTTGTTGAATATAAATGAAGAGATTTAAGGGTTTCCATTCATTGTAATGTTTCATATGGGCTTGATTGATTGATATTTATCTGTATGTTGTTTTGTACATTTAAGGTATTGGGATGCATATGGTGATTGATTTGTCAGCTGTTCATGGGTTACTGCTTTGTTTGTGGGCTGTGCTCACCGTGCTAGGGAGGTTTTTGACATTGCACCCCACACTTTGAAGTGAGCAGGTATATTCTTTATCCCTTTCAATGCTGCATCTACTAAATCAGTTATGTTTTTTGTATAACTATTATTTGGCTACTCTTATTCTATGTACTTTTAGATAAGTAGTGGTGAATGGTCATTTAGGAGAATTTGTTGTAGAGTTATGTTCCCTCTAAATATTAGTTTGTTACACTAATTAGTTAGGAAGTTATTGAGAGTGACAGCATATGCTGGAATTGTAGGCAGAAGAAATTAAAAGGGATTATGTGAGTTGTGGAATTGGGAAGGAGAGATCTGGACCTCTTGAAAGTATCTATGAGTTGTAATAGATGGAAGGAGACTTTTTCCTGTCTATTAGTAATAGAATTTGATAGTTTCCAAATTATTAGTTACAGTAATATTGAGTTTTATGTGAGGAGCACTATATGTTTCAAATGGATAGTGAATTTTTTTAGTGTTGTGTAGTTTCCAAGATGCACTACATCCAACTTAAGTTGTTCATATTAGGTATCGAAGAATGGTACTTTTAATCTTGATCTAGCTTGAAATAGCTGATGGGTGAGTCAAGCTATATAGGAATGTACATAAATTGAAGTAAAGGTGTTCAAAATAAGACGGGGTAGTTGTGCACTTTCACCTTATTCATTATGCTATCGGTTATTGCTCTCTTGCAATCATATTTGTTCTCTTCTTGAAATACATGGATTGTGTATAACGGAGGGCACCCATCGATAGCTTCATACAATCTCATTCTTAGAAGTGTTAGTTTTCTTTCACTTTTTTTTACTTGCTTAGGAAAAATCTGAAATAACTTAAGAAAGTTTGTTCCAATTTAAAACCTGGAAGTAATGAGAAATTGTTTAGTAATGAGAGTCTAATTTAATGATTTGGAAAATGGATATTATATATGTCATTCTCCAATAGTCAAATCTAACTTAACTAATATATGTGCATTTCATTTGTTTCCTTATATTTTATATTTATAAATTTATATCTGCAATTTTGAAAAGGGTTTAAATACACTTTCAGTCCCTATAAATAGAGTATTTTCCGATTTTGATCCATATAAGTTTTTGTTTTTTTTGGCTTCCCTCCCTGCAAAGTTAGTTTTCATTACTTTTACTTCAGGCGTCGAGTTCCGCTACAAAAAATACTAATTTGGCATATAAAGGTCTATTAGCGCTGCTGAACATTCGACACTGATATATATGCAAGATGCTACTGACACAGATCATCGTTAAATTAATTTTAAAATTTTTAAAAATTATGGTTTTGCCATCATCTTCTTTTGAACCAAATCACAAACTCAAAAAACACAAATCATCTGCCACATTAGTATCTTTTAAATTTTTTTGCCTTGTCAAATAGCGGCTATATTAGTGTTATAGCATTATGACGTAGCAGAATTTGAACAAATCGCTATTGTTCTGCGATACGCTATTTAATTTAGTATAAATTGTTGCTAAAACACTGTAGCATAACGGAATTTGAACAAATAGCGGCTATATTCAATGTGTTTGAGTGTGTGATCAAGTGTGCCATAATTAGTATGCATCTTTTGTATACAGACATCAGCTGACTTTTACACAATTGTCTATTCAAACACTACAGTGGGTGTATATAAAACAAGATTAACTTTAGTAACTTAGATTTGACTATTGATGGCCTGTAACATATAGGTACTAGACACATTTCATGTAAAAGCTCATCAGATGAAAAGAGATACATATGTTGATAAAGATAAAAGTAAAATGAATATAGTGATAGAATATAAATAAAATGCTAATTAATATAATAATTGTTTTATTAGATTTTTGGATTCCACTTACATTATTGTTGACATTTATTTAGACAAACAGGTTCACCACATTATAATCTAGATAGTGGATTTCACCATGTTAAACTCCAAACTTGATCTTCCTTGAACTCAGAAAAGCATGACTTGGACTTGGTGGTGTGGGAAAATCATGGTTTGATGTTTGTGGAAGTGGGATAGTAGTAGGAAAGGGATGATATGTAACTGGAACTGGTTTACTAACATGGTTTGAAGCTTTGTGAAAAGCATCAACTCCAATAGTTGGCACTTCACTCGTCATAACATTAGCATGTAATGATTCATCCGGCGGTGGTTCTGGATCTGGTTCAGAAGTTGGGAAAACATGGTTTGAAGTTTTGGAGAAAGCATGAACTCCGATAATTGGCATATCACTTGTCATAACATTAGTATGAAATGATTCATCCGGTGGTTCTGGATCTGGTTCAATAGTTGGCAAAACGCGGTTTGAAGTTTTGTGAAAAGTCTGAGATGAAGTAATTGGATCAGCATTTGGCATAACATCTGCAAAAGTTGATTCTATGGAAGAAAGAGCAGTCAGAAAAATGAGTAAGGATGGAAGGAAAAATGAAGCCATTTGGTATAGCTAGGTGAAAGATAGTGTTCTCTTCACTAGTATTTATAGGACAAAACTAACTTAATTCATGATTACGGGTTTCTTAAGCAGTAAGAAACTGAACTACTTTCATTATCAATGCTGATTTTCTTTTATAATTTTTATTATATCAAGGATAAATTTGGATAATCGAATATTACAAGTTTCATACTACCATGCAGACTTGATTTATTTTGATGCTAGTGGTCCATCTCTTAATTTATTTCATGCTTAAGAAGCACTGAAAGCGAAATAAAACGATAACTCGCATTAAAGATGGTATAAAATAGTAATATTACAAAACCTTTAACATTATATTCAAGTCAAATAATTTAAACTTATGCAATTCTCTAACATGGTAATTTTTCATAAGGATGTAATTTTTTTTCCAATGGTTTTCGTCTCAACATAGCGTGAGCTTTAAAGTTAACATTTATTGTGAGATATTTTTTCTTAAAATTGTAGTACTACATTTTTCAGAAAATTACAAAATAAATTATTTTTTTAAAGTTTAAAAGAAGTTAAATAACAAATACAAAATATAAAGATTGAAGTGAAATTTGTTAAATTTATTTTGATTTAAAATTTTGAAACAAAAAGGAAATGAAGTTGAAACGTATTAGGGCATAATTTGTGTGAGAGAAACATCATTTGCATTCTGATGCTGAAACGATAATTGTTTCTTGCTCTCTTGAGTCATAGTTGTTATATCCAAAATTTTGACTCTAAGATACCTACATCGTTTGCATCTTATACATACATTTTTATGCATCCCTAACCAAATTTTAGAAAGTCAAGATTGTTGTTTGCTTCCTTATGATCTCCAATTAGGATTTTTAAGCTCTACAGAGGATTCAGAGAAAGGATCAATCAAGAATTGACATGATCTTTAACTTATCAAGTCCCTCAATCATCCATGAAGATGAAAAAGATCACATTCACCAAGAATCAAGGACAAAATTACATCATTTCAAGTTGGTCAAACCTCAAGATCATCTGCATCACCAAATTAGGGTTTTGACCTA